TTGGTCCTTCTCCACAGCAGGACATCTGAGACAGCAGAGGTAAATCACAGCAAAGTAACAGAGTGCATAGAGCATAAAGGCCTGTCCATGAAACAAGGAATGCTGTTCAGGAGCCCTAGCCGTAGTTTTGCTGTTTTCTTTTCTCCCACCCCTCCTTCCTTTAACCATTAGGTACCAATGGATACCAGATACACAGCACTGCATAAGAAGGTTAAGAGATAGCATCGGTAAAGTTTCCCACCAAAGCGAGCTAATGGCACACTGGCTGATTAGAAAGCATTTCTGTCATGTGGGAATTCTAATCCGCTCTTATCAGACCTCTGGCTTCATCACTTATCAGGGTGGGAATGCAAGGTACATCAGCTATGCCACAGAATGATTTCTGGGGCCCCTGGCCACGACGAAGCAGATCAAAAAGGAGTTCGTGCCTGCCAGAGTGAGGCTTTCACCATAGCAACACATGTTATTCTACAAACAGTTGGGACTAAGGCGCTCTGCTGTGACCAGCCTGGAGAGTGCCTCTGTGAAATAAGCCACTGAGGGTTCAGAAGACAGAGTGAGCAAGAGAAGTAACACCTATTTAGCTGCCAGAGCTGTTTCCTTGTAGTCTTTACTGCCCCAGGGCTGACAGCAGCAGCATCAAGACCCTCTGGTACCCACCTTATATTTTCTCATAAGACAAATGTCCGAGAGAAGGTGGGCTGTGTATCGCACAGAATCCTTGGAGCAAGGGGGAATTAGGGAACTCAAGGACAGTCATTTGGATGGTACATGGCTAGTGCTGGAGAACTTAGCAGAAGGTATTCATCTCAAAATATGTCATCCCTAAAATGACAGACAGCCAGGGCCCCCAGTGAGTGGTCCAAGGATGGAAAGCAGACCCTCAGACCCGGTAAAGAAGCCAGAGGCAAGAGTCATCAGTGTGACTGTTTCAGGCATCAATAAAGCACCCCCATGCTAGGGGAGCCTTTAACCTGTCATTTTTCATCCTGCACTTGGAGTCAACACTTCACCAACTGACCAATACCATCTTTCACTTTTGCCAAAGGAAGACAAGACTCATGAATATGTCCTTTCATCCTATAGAACAGGGTCAAACTGGAACCCTGGTCAAGAAAGAGAAACTCAAAACTCCAAATTTCCGTTCTGTTGTTTAAATCACTGACTGCCACACTCGGGAATTGAACCAAGGAAGACATCCATGAGAATGAGGGAACCCTCCCGGTGTCCTCCAGTGTCCCCAGCCGACTGTGTCTCAAGCTCCAGGGATAGAGGCATAAAGTCAGGAATTACAAAAGCTGACAAAGTAACATCCTCAAAAGTGCATTAGAAGGTAGTTAAAAACAACAACTCACACCCACAGGTGTTTCTATGTGTCACTCCTGTGATTTCTATTTATACAATAGAAGAATCTCTTCACAATTCGTAACTTATCTTCTCACCTAGCATCAAGAGGACAGGACTGGCTGCCTGGTTACAGGCTATGACACCCACAGGTACATCCGGGAGTATGATATGGTGCCACTACCCTCAATCCAAACACTCATGACACATGCAATGGGCTTCCATTGTATGTGCTGCAAATATTTCTTCCTGACAAGTCTGTCATGGGGCCAGAAACAGGGAAGAAATGTTAAAAGCCCAAACCAGCCACTATCCTCAAACTTGTCTGGACCCCAAACCCTCACATCATCACGTGGCCTTTATAAAAACCAAACACCAAACCTACAAACGACCCTCAGAATCTCAGAAGCATTTCTCTGCAGCTGCAGAAACCGAAGAAGAAACCAGTTTCCGTCTCGAGATGACATTTTTAAAGGTGATACAGAAATTGCTTCCTCTCCTCCAGGTGCCGCCTATTTCTCATTCTCCATTCGCTAATGAAAAGAGTTTTCCTCTTCCCCTGCCTGGAAACGTTTCAGCTGGAAACGTGGCACAAGGCACTGCAGGGCGAAGGGAAGGGTGTGTGTGTATGTGTCTGTGTGTGTCTGTGTGTGTGTGTGGCTACTTTCAAATCTGACTTAGACACACATCCCAACTGGCCACCCACACCCTGAAGAACCACACTCCACCTAAGAAAGGCCAAACTGTCCACAAGAAAACTGCCCCTTGCACCACCTCTCCCAAAGCAGAGTTAAGAAAGAGAAAGCTGGAAAGGAGGGAGGGGGGGGGGGAATAAAGTCCCACATTCCTGACATTTTTTAGCCAAGTGCAGTGTGGCTGCACAGAACAGCTCTATTCCAAACAGACATAAGATGGGACAAAACGTGGGTTGGGGGAGGAAGCTGTACCTGCCCTGGAAATAAGATAACCCAAAACTAAACTAAAAGTGTGTCTGAGCACAGCTGAGGGGAACAGGGGCCAGACAGCCTTTCATGTGTTCCCAAAAGGAAGTGATCCCAAGGGAAGGAATTTGGCGTCAACATCTCCCTAAAGACGGAACAGAAGCCTTGGGGATCCTGAGAGGGAAATCAAAACCCATGAGTGCTGCAGAGGTTAGACTAGCAAGAGATGCTGACATGGACATGAAGGCTGTGGCTTGCAAGAGTGTGCGGAGGGGGTGGAGAACAGCAGAGGCTAGACAGGGGACCGAAGGGAGGGGGGCCATCACAAGGGTTACATTCTATCGGAAGAAGGACAATACAGTTTTCCTGGCTCAGCTTTCTAAATGAAGGAATCCTGGCCTGGCCCAAGATACAAACATAGGAGCCTGATGTCTTTTCTCCCTGTTCCCCCCATACTGCCTTCTTCCCACTATATGCCTACCTATATGCACACACACACACACACCAACACACACATATAGGGAGAAAATCCCAGAAATAATTCAGTCTGTCCTTTGCTGGGTTTTCAGGTATCTTCACACCTCCTACTTTCCAGGATGTTTCATTTCGTGATGATAGCAGAGTTTGTGTGAGTGTGTGTGCCTACACGCAGGCAGACACACACTCGCTCAGACACTGTGTGTTCGCACACACAATCTCTGTACAGTACTAGGTGGGAACAGACAGTAAAGACCTCCTATACACAGCACAGATCAGGAGTCTTTGAAATTGATATTGGAGGTTGAGGAGGGGTTGGGGGGTGGGGAGAGGAGGACGGATCTCAAGTCCTTCTAAACAGAAGTTCAAGCCTTAGTCCTTTCTCTTCCGTCAGGTACTAGATCTGACAATTCCAGCACTTTTCAGTTTCCACAGATTGTCACTGATCTAATGCAAAGGACTTCCCGCAAGGCTAGATATAGGGAACAAAGGCGGTAAGAGCACAAACAGTAGGTGTCTCTTTTTGCACAGCACAAAGGCAGGTAAAGCCAAAAATCTTAAGAAAAGCTAGATAACACAGAGAGACACAGGGTAAGCAAGACGCTCTGGCCAGCTGCGGAGCACATGGCTATGAGGTTTCTGATTGACACATGCATCATTCCAGCCCTACCCCCCAAGAACTGGAGCATGCCCTCTTAGAACAGAGGACAGCAAATAGACACAAGGCAAATGCTAAACAGAGCAAGTCCTCTGCCTTCTCATTAAGCCATTATGTTAAATAATAACAAGGGTCCAGGAGCAAGAAACAGATTCTCTCATTGGTAGGGAAGAATGGCTTTCGCTGCTGATAAAAACACAGCTTTAAGCTTTACAATCACTCTGTAAGAAAGAGAGGTTTTAATGGCTTCTTCAGTGATGGGGAAACTGAGGCTTCGATCAGTCTTCAATGAGACATTCTTCTCCAGAACCTCAAGGGAATCTTGAGTGGAGGGGAGGAGAGAGAATGAACTGGCAGCATTTCCAAAAGAGTGTGGGCACGAACCCCAGTCCCAGATTCTCTCCCACAAACCCTATAGCCTGGCAAAGAGAACGCATCCTGCTCAGACCTAAGTGCCACAAGAACAGCCCCAGCTAGGGGGCAGGTTCATCAGCCAGACAGGACCTGGGTCAGTAACAGGAGAGACAGGCAACTTTATCCAGAAAGGAGAACAGGAGAGTCCTCAGGACCAGGAGACTAAGGTCAGAGCCATGGGAATGCCACATATCATGTCGTGTATGGCGCTCTTGAGACTACATATACTACAGCAAACCCATTCTCAGTTTCCTCCAGTCTTTCCCACTTTTTAGTGTCACCGTTTTCTTCTCACTCTGTACTAGGGACCATCAGCCCCTTGGATTCTGACCCGGTTCGTAGTCAACAAATACAGTTCTGAGGCCTACACAAGCCCACTACTGAATGTAGGATCCCATCCTCCATTCCCACCCCACATCCTGCACCTACAAGAGAATCACCTTTCACCTAAAAGCAGAGGGAATTCCTGCTTCTCCCTTGGCTCCTGAAAAGGTGATGAGGCTCTGGGTCCAATTCACACAATGATCCACAGGGACAGTCCAAAGTGCCAAAGGCTATCTTAGAACTAGCCCTTTAGGTCATATTTAAAGAGAGGTTGGTCACAGAAGGCCCCCACTGGAATGAAGCCAGGGCCACAAGTGATCACCTGGAGCAAGCTCCAGGGAGTAGGAAAGCCACAGGAGAGGTGTAGAAGGGTTAGGATCCCTTCCACTGGAAGAACCTAGATCTGGCAGCCCCTACTTGGGAGAAGGGGGGTGGGAGGGGTGGATTGTGCAATCACTTCGGGTCTGGGAGTCTCCCAGCTTGGCAACCGGACGCCAGAAAGGAAACCCCAATCCTGAGGCCAGGAAAGCACAGCTGGAATTGGTTCGAGGCCAGGCATGGATCTCAGAGATTCGGAGAGACAGGGAGTTGCAGGATACGGTGGGTGCCCAAGGGGGCGACAGAGCATGGCACCGCCCGCACAGGAGCTAGGGGTGCTGTCTGGACTGTCCTAGGTCCAGGCCAGGGTGGATACAGTGCACAAAGCCAAGGGTGCAGATAAACGTGCGGGACAGCCAGGCTCGCTCCAGCCCAGATGAGGTTCTGGAATCCTTGTGTGCACCGCGGAGCCCGGGAGTTGGGACCGCCTGCCCCTGCGGCACCCCCCTCCCCGCTCCACTCACCTCGAACATAAGCCCTATGAGAACGCAGAGCACCAAGCAGAAGCCGATGTCTGCATGGTTGTGGATGACGAACTCCTGGCTGAAGAGCGGGTAACTTTTCGTCCTCCTTCGGAAAGCCATGGCAGAGGGCGTGCACTGCCTGCGGGGCCCCGCACCCACGCTCAGCAGCCGCAGCGAAAACTTCTCCGGCCCGGCCCGGTCCGCCCGCCAGCCCCGCTGCCCAGCGCGGAACAACTTCGGGCCCCGCCCCCTTCCTCCGCCCGCCCCGCCCCCGGCCTGCCGCCCGGAACCGCCCCCGGCCACAGCCCTCTCCCCGCAGCCGCGACACAGGCGCGGGCCTCTGGCCACACCCCTTTCCTCCGTCCGTCCCGCCCCCGGGCCGCCGAGGCGCGCGCCTCCGACCACGCCCCCTTCCTCCGTCCGCCCCGCCCCAAGTTCTCTGGCTTGTGCCCCCGGCCACGCCCCCTGAGCGAGCCCCGAGCGTTTAACCCTCGCGCCGCGCGGGGTGTCCCGTCTGTCTTGCGGGATCGGCCGGGGTGCACTCCGCCGTCAACCTCGCGGAGACCCGGGAATGGAAGCCCTGTCCTCCGGCTCCGGGAGGAGGCGGCGCCCCGCAGCCGGACAGGAAGTGGGCCCGGATCCCACTCCTCGCGCCCTGCTTCTTCCTCCGCAGGAAGAGCCCGGAGCTGCAAGGTTCGCCCGGGCCTGTGGGCCGGCCTCAGCCCTGCACTGGACCATAAATGAATACTTGGCTACGCTGATGTTTGAGGGCTTGCACAGCGCTAGGCTCAACAGCTCAGAAGCTGCCGGCTTTCAGTGGAGTGCGGGTAGCTTAGGGTTTACTCCCTCACTTAAAAGGCCCGGGTGTTAAGCCTGAATTAGTTTTCCAAGGCTCACCCAAAATCAGTACTAAATGATCAGAGGTGGAAGAATAAACACAGACGAAATAAAAAAGAACTTTGTCATCCGAAGTTTCCATTTAATATTAAGTTTTTAAAATACTTCCGGAAGGACAAAAGGTCTTTTAAAATAAAATTATACTGGTAAATATTGGACTTAATCCTACCAGTGATGAAGGAACAACTAATCACTTCTAAATGCACAGAAATGCAAAATGAACAAAGAACTGTTTAATTTCTTTTTTTTAAATTAGTTCCACAGTTATTTCACTCCTGAGTAAATATGAGGCTGCAAAAATGGCAGTCTGAAGGTAATTGGAACTGAATGAAGCTCCTCAAGAAATTTATCTCCTACATTCTATGCTATGCACGATTTATCAGACAGCCCTGGGTTTTCTAACTTCCAGGGAAACAACCACAAAACATATCAATGCCTATACTGGATTAACCGTTGTTTAATGTCAAGGCTGGCACACTGTGTGTGTGTGTGTGTGTGTAACTTTTGATGTATAGAGGGCTGCGTACATGTATGAGTACACACATTCATATGTTTTCATACAGGCATTCACTCCAACCATCTCCGGTATCAATCTTCACCTTCCACCTTGTTTGACCCAAAGTCGCTCTTTTTGTTGATTTTTCCACTGGGTAGGTCAGGCTAGCTGCTGCGCTAAGCTTCTGGACACCGCTCTTCTGTCTCCATCCCTCATTTCCCAGTAGAAATGCCGCTACTCTGTGGCCAACTTTTATATGGGTTCTGGGGATTCAAGGTCAGGTCCTTGGGTTTGCACAGCACGTGCTATCACTCACTGAGCCATCTCCCCAGTCGAGACTCTTTTGAAATTTGGCCCCAAGCTTTGTGAAGAACAAAAAGGTTAAGAACACTGGAGCACCTTGACTTTCAATGTAGAACTGTTCTAATGGTCAACTTGCAGCTATGCCAATTAGCCCGCGCCCTGGGGAACTGATCCTAGTATTTGAAATGATGCAGCCTAACTGTCCATTTCACGATGGTTTGTAGGAATTTCCTTTGAATATGTGATGGTGTCACTCTGACATTAATACTGGAGCACAAAAGCCATGGGAAACAGACAGTAGAACCTCCCCATTTATAAATAAGACAGTTGGAAAAAAAGATAGCTCTTGCTGCTCATAGCCAGTTCTTCCCTTTGCAGTATAATTGAACGATCAGACATAAGATTCCGAGATGTATGTTTGATAGCACATCACACTGACACCCGCAGAAGTGCCAAAAGCCACCTTCCGCCATCATAGCTATCTCTAAGTCCAAGTTGCCCAAACCATCTTTAGTACAAATGGTGGGCTAAACATTTCCCAGTGCTTCCAGTGCACACTCTTAATACTAAGAATTGCCGCCATCCCACATTTTGCAGGAATTCTGCAAGCCTGTTCCCAACACTTCTTTTTCACTCAGTCACAGAGTCCTGTAAATCCTTATCTCAGAATTCATCTCACCAGTCCCCATCTCCATCATTTCACACATGACCCCCACAAATCACCCATATATTTCCCTGCCTTCGTTATTATCCTGTTTATTGGCCATTTTATTTGGAGTGTCCGTGGAGCACCTACCATGGGGCAGACACGGCTAGCGAGTGATCACAAAGACATATGACAGTCCAGGTGCAGTGGTCTTATATGTCTTCAGATCCAGCTAATTCCTGTTCCCTCGAAGGGGGGCTATACTTAGTGGGGTTCCTTCTAACAGAAAATGGGATAAGTGACGTTTTTGTTTCTGTTCCTGTTTACCTTTAATACTAGATTCTAAAAGGTCTTTCTAGTTTGTCCTTCAGCTTGGATCAGCCTCTCTGGGAGAAGCCAGATGCCATGTTTTGTGACTACTCAAAAACATACAGCAATATAATGTAGGATAAACATATAGGAAAGAAGGGGGAGATAGTAAGACCTGGAGGGGACAGGATATCCACAAGGAGAACAACAAAACAAAACAAAACAAAAATCTGGGCACAGGGGTCTTTTCTGAGACTGATACTCCAACCAACCTAGAACCCCTGATCAAATGTAGCCCATGGCAGCTCAGTCTCCAAATGGGTTCCCGTAAGGGGAAGAGGGGCTGTCTCTGACATGAACTCAGTGGCTGGCTCTTTGATCACCTCCTCCTGAGGCAGGAGCAGCCTAGCCAGGCCACAGAGGAGGGCAATGCAGCCAGTCCTGATGAGACCTGATAGCCTAGGGTCAGATGGAAGGGGAGGAGGACCTCCCCTATCAGTGGACTTGGAGAGGGGCATGGGAGGAGAGGAGGGAAGGAGGGTGAGATTGGGAGGGAATGAGAAGAGGGGGCTACAGCTGGGATACAAAGTGAATAAACTGTAATTAACATAAAAAATAAAAATTTAAAAAAGACATATAGCAGAATTCGCATGGCAACACCTGAGACCTCTTGCTAGTAACCAGCACTGACTTCACACACGGAAAGGAGCTACTCTGGAAGAAGATTGTCCAACCCTATGAGTCCTGTAGCTAGCCCCTTGACCATAACCTGTGAACCACCCAGAGCTAGAAAGAACCATTGTAAGCCATGCCTAAATTCCTGACCCATCTCAATGATAAGATAATAAGAATTTGATATCTTAAGCCACTAAGTCTTGCCATTTGTTTTGTAGCAACAGATAACTAATATGAATGGCTGGAGCCTACGATATTTTTAGGAGATAAAGACATCATTCCAATTCAATAGGATGGTGGTGGTTCTCATAATTAGAAATATGTACACTATGAATGTAAAGTCTCATTTTGATCATGGTCTAGGAAAAGGGGAAATTTATCTGACCCAGGTTTTACAGACAGAGAATATAGGCTATGTGTGGAGGTGCACACCTGTTATCCCAGCACTCTGGAGGCTGAAGCAGGAGGACTGAGGGTTCAAGACCAGCCTGAACTACTTAGGTAGACTTTCTCTCCAAACAAAACAGGAGACTCAGAGAGAGAGAGAGAGAGAGAGCAAATGCAGAAATGGGAAAATAAATGTGTAGAGAGATGGTGTTTAATTTTTAGGATATTTTGAGAACCGTGCAAAGGATTGTGACTTTATTGTGAAACAGTGGGGAAATTTAAAACATGTTTGTATTCCAGCACTGAAGAGGCTAATGCAGGAGGATTGCTATGAGTTTGAGGCTAGCCTGGGCTACTTGGTGCATTCTAGGATAGACAGAGTTACTGAATGAGAACAATGAGTCAATCTCTCAGCACCTCAGTTTCTCAGGTGCTGGACCACACTATAACTTGTGAAGTATATCAGGTAAGCTCAAGGGATCCCACTACTCCAAACCAGTGATGGCTGCCAACATCTCACTGCATCAAAGAGGCACTACTGGAGAAACTGAGTCACCAAAGGCACATCTTCTCCCTGGAGAGTTCTTTCCTGTTTTCCCGCTTTCTCTTTCCAGTGACCATGAGGTTAGCAGCTTGGCTGCACCATAGCTATCTGCCAAGATTTTCTGCCTCGTCACAGGCTCAGAAACAATGGAGCCTGCCGTCCCCTGGCTGAAAGCTCCAGAAGCAGGATCCTGAACAAACCTTTTCTTCTTTGAGCTCATTCTTGAGCCAGAGAAAAAGGTGACAGGGCAAGAATGCCACCGAAGATATTGAACATATTGGTATAGAGCCAAGAAAAAGAATCCCACATCCGTGCTACCAAGTGTTGGATTCATGGCTGAATAAGAGCTGCTTCTGCTGTGGGCTCTATAAAAGCTGACCACTGCTTACAGATGTCCACATGGAGCACAGAATGTTTTTTTTTATTTTTGGTTTTTGCTGACTGAGTCTCATGTAGTTCTGTCTGTCCTGAAACTCACTATGTAGACCAGGCTACCCTCAAACTCACAGAAATCTGCCTGCCCCTGCCTCCTGAGTGCTGGGTTTAAAGGTACGCTTCACTCCCAGCCTCAGAGCATGCTTTTTGTTTTATTGTTTTGTTTTGTTGTTTCATCAGTTAATTTATTTAATCACTTTACAGCTTGATTGCAGCCCCCTCCCTTCTCTCCTTCCAGTCCCACCCTCTCAATCCCCCTGACCCCATTCTCCCCTCATCTTCTCTTTAAAGAAGGAGAAGCCCCCCATGGGTACCAACTCACCCTGGCACATTGAGTCACAGCAGGGCTAAAAGCATCCTCTCCCACTGAGGCCAGACAAGGCAGCCCAGCTAAGGGAAAGGAATCCAAAGGCAGATAATAGCGTCCCCTGCTCCCATTGTTAGGGGATCCACATGATAACCAAGATGCACATCTGCTACGTATGTGTAGGAGTCT